AGATGGTTGTGCAATGTAGTGAGCATGTAACAGAGACAAGAGCCTGAAGGAGATCACTGTGGAGTGTAGCGGGCATGTAACAGAAACATGTGCCTGAAGGAGATGGTTGTAAAGTGTAGTGGGCATGTAACAGAGACAAGAGCCTGAAGGAGATCGTTGTCGAAGGTAGTAGGCATGTAACAGATACGAGTGTCTGACGGAGATTGTTGTGGAGTGTAGTGGGCATGTAACAGAGAAGACGATCGTTGTGGAGTGTAGTGGGCATGTAACAGAGAAAACGATCGTTGTGGAGTGTAGTGGGCATGTAACAGAGACAAGTGTCTGAAGGAGATCATTATGGACTGTAGTAGGCATGTAACAGAGACAAGTGTCTGAAGGAGATCGTTGTAGAGTGTAGTGGGCATGTAACAGAGACGAGTGTCTGAAGGATATCGTTGAAGAGTGTAGTAGGCATGTAACAGAGACGACTGTCTGAAGGATATCGTTGTAGAGTGTAGTGAGCATGTAACAGAGACGAGTCTCTGAAGGAGATCGTTGTAGAGTGTAGTGGGCATGTAACAGAGACGAGTCTCTGAAGGAGATCGTTGTAGAGTGTAGTGGGCATGTAACAGAGACAAGTATCTGAAGGATATTGTTGTAGAGTGTAGTGGGCATGTAACAGAGACAAGTGTCTGAAGGAGATCGTTGTAGAGTGTAGTGGGCATGTAACAGAGACAAGTATCTGAAGGATATCGTTGTAGAGTGTAGTGGGCATGTAACAGAGACAAGTATCTGATGGATATCGTTGTAGAGTGTAGTGGGCATGTAACAGAGACGAGTGTCTGAAGGATATCGTTGAAGAGTGTAGTGGGCATGTAACAGAGACAAGTGTCTGAAGGATATCGTTGTAGAGTGTAGTGGGCATGTAACAGAGACAAGTGTCTGAAGGAGATCGTTGAAGAGTGTAGTGGGCATGTAACAGAGACAAGTGTCTGAAGGAGATCGTTGTAGAGTGTAGTGGGCATGTAACAGAGACGAGTGTCTGAAGAATATCGTTGTAGAGTGTAGTGGGCATGTAACAGAGACAAGTGTCTGAAGGAGATCGCTGTAGAGTGTAGTGGGCACGTAACAGAGACAAGTGTCTGAAGGATATCGTTGAAGAGTGTAGTGGGCATGTAACAGAGACAAGTGTCTGAAGGATATCGTTGTAGAGTGTAGTGGGCATGTAACAGAGACGAGTGTCTGAAGGAGATCGTTGTAGAGTGTAGTGGGCATGTAACAGAGACAAGTGTCTGAAGGAGATCGCTGTAGAGTGTAGTGGGCATGTAACAGAGACAAGTGTCTGAAGGAGATCGTTGTAGAGTGTAGTGGGCATGTAACAGAGACAAGTGTCTGAAGGAGATCGTTGTAGAGTGTAGTGGGCATGTAACAGAGACGAGTGTCTGAAGAATATCGTTGTAGAGTGTAGTGGGCATGTAACAGAGACAAGTGTCTGAAGGAGATCGTTGTAGAGTGTAGTGGGCATGTAACAGAGACAAGTGTCTGAAGGAGATCGTTGTAGAGTGTAGTGGGCATGTAACAGAGACGAGTGTCTGAAGAATATCGTTGTAGAGTGTAGTGGGCACGTAACAGAGACAAGTGTCTGAAGGAGATCGTTGTAGAGTGTAGTGGGCATGTAACAAAGACGAGTGTCTGAAGAATATCGTTGTAGAGTGTAGTGGGCATGTAACAGAGACAAGTGTCTGAAGGAGATCGCTGTAGAGTGTAGTGGGCATGTAACAGAGACAAGTGTCTGAAGGATATCGTTGAAGAGTGTAGTGGGCATGTAACAGAGACAAGTGTCTGAAGGATATCGTTGTAGAGTGTAGTGGGCATGTAACAGAGACGAGTGTCTGAAGGAGATCGTTGTAGAGTGTAGTGGGCATGTAACAGAGACAAGTGTCTGAAGGAGATCGCTGTAGAGTGTAGTGGGCATGTAACAGAGACGAGTGTCTGAAGGATATCGTTGAAGAGTGTAGTGGGCATGTAACAGAGACAAGTGTCTGAAGGATATCGTTGTGGAGTGTAGTGGGACTGTAACAGAGACGAGTGTCTGAAGAATATCGTTGTAGAGTGTAGTGGGCAGATAACAGAGACGAGTGTCTGAAAAAAATTGTTGTGGAGGCAGATGTTTCATGGCAAGGGGAACAGAGGGAGTTTACCAATGGGTGCTCTGTGGGATAGGAAGCTTGATGCAAGAGTTCTTTTACAAAACTGGCTGATGATCATTTTGATGTAGAACAGAGTGTTAGTTACCCTAGAAGTGCTAAGAAACGCTGGATGACAAGTTGCTACAATAACTTTATGCCACACGTCAAACACGACAAGTGAGTAAACGTTATCTCCCATTTTACTGACGAAGTGTTGGTCTGAAAGATATCGTCTGACTGTTGATGACAATGACCATGGTGGTATTTGATGATGACGATGATGATGCCAACAACGATGGTGATGATGGTGATGTCGGTTACTCTTTTGAATGATTAGACAAATCTCAGGGTGTAACATAGCTGTCAGTATCTCCGCTTTATCATCATCATTAAGAGCTGCCGACTGGCGAGGTTGATCATGCCTCTGCATAAACTGCGATCTTTAACAGCAAGTATCAGCTCCAAACAATTGTCAAGAAGTGTCTTAGTTATCTTTATTTTTTTTTTCCCTAGAAAACTTAAGAAAATTGAAATGAGTTAACAGCGATTAACATTCTTATCTTTGTAAAACAAAATATGACACGAATTTATTTATATCAGACATTTATTTCATATTTATTCTAACTGCTTCATTAAGGGAATTCTAAAATCATCTGTTAATTTTCTTACAATGTGAAAATTAGAGAGATGGCACATTTCACACAGTTTGTATGGACCTTCCCTAATTCACACTATTTTCATAAAGCATACGTAACTCACATTGTTTGTCTCATGTGTGTAACATTTGCAGTTTGTACATATTTAGGCCACGATAGATAACCCGGTTGTGGCTGCCACAGTTATTTGTCCTTGGAGAGACTAATGCCTGGGCGGGAGGTCGGGGTTCTCCCTGTCGGGGTGACATACCAGTGAGCATGCTGGCGGTACCTACTAGAAATATTTGTGACAAATTTGAAGTGATAGTTTCACACATCATGTGACAACTTATGGATTATGCGATTTAATTGCTTCACGTGTGTTTAGTGATACTTTTATCATCAATATGGATCTCGTCACAAACTTGTGTTGTTTTGGTCGTCAATACAGATCCTTCACAAACTGGTGCTGTTTTAGTCATCAGTACAGCTATCATCAGAAACTGGTGACCTTTTGGTCATCAGTACAGCTATCGTCAAAAACTAGTGACGTTTTACTCATCAGCGCAGATGTCACAAAGTGGTGATGATTTGGTTATCAGTACATCTATCGTCAGAAACTGGTGACGTTTTACTCATCAGCGCAGATGTCACAAAAGTGGTGATGATTTGGTTATCAGTACACATATCGTCAGAATCTGGTGACGTTTTGGTCATCAGGGCAGATGTCACAAAGTGGTGATGTTTTGGCCATCAGCGCAGATGTCACAAAGTGGTGATGTTTTGGCCATCAGCGCAGATGTCACAAAGTGGTGATGTTTTGGCCATCAGCGCAGATGTCACAAAGTGGTGATGTTTTGGCCATCAGCGCAGATGTCACAAAGTGGTGATGTTTTGGCCATCAGCGCAGATGTCACAAAGTGGTGATGTTTTGGCCATCAGCGCAGATGTCACAAAGTGGTGATGTTTTGGCCATCAGCGTAGATGTCACAAAGTGGTGATGTTTTGGCCATCAGCGTAGATGTCACAAAGTGGTGATGTTTTGGCCATCAGCGCAGATGTCACAAACTGGTGATGTTTTGGCCATCAGCGCAGATGTCACAAACTGGTGATTTTTTTTTGGCTATCAGCGCAGATGTCACAAAGTGGTGATGTTTTGGCCATCAGCGTAGATGTCACAAAGTGGTGATGTTTTGGCCATCAGCGCAGATGTCACAAAGTGGTGATGTTTTGGCCATCAGTACAGCTATCGTCAGAAACTGGTGATGTTTTAGTCATCGGCGCAGATGTCACAAAATGAGGATGTTTTGGCCATAAGTACAAATCCTGTCCCAGACTGGTGATGTTTTGGTCATCGGTAAAATTTTTGACAGAAACTGGTGATGTTTGGTCATTAGTATAGTTCTCGTTACAAGCCAACTGTGATAATAAGTCACACACTGGTGCAGATCAGTATGAGTATTAACATACCATGTGATGATGTCCCACAGGCTGCATGAACACTTCACAAAGTCCCACAATATCGCCATGTGATACATTCACATTCGTGTCTGGATAAAGGGACTGTGACCTATCACACTTAAAACCACTGATGACACGTCGATATGTCATGGCAACATTGGTCATTCAGGCAACACTGGTCATTCAGGCAACATTCGTCATTCAGGCAACATTGATTATTCAGGCAACACTGGTCATTTAGGCAACACTGGTCATTCAGGCAACATTGGTCATTCGGGCAATACTGGTGATTCAGGCAACACTAGTCATTCAGACAATATTCGTAATTCAGGCAACAATCAGACGACAAAATTCATGCAGCCCTGGGCGAAAGTATCAAATAAAACATCACTTCCCCATGACAATCATTCATATCCATTTGTGAAGAGAAGACGTTATGTCGTAGTTCTAAACAATCGTTGATGCTGCAGACACTCTCTCGCCATCATATTTTGACCTTCAAACCAGCGGGAATCGTGTTATTGTGACGAGGATATCTGCAGACTCTTTCAGTTAATAATAAAGATGGCAACAACCAAGATTTCTTCAGGAAACTTCAGTAATATTGACATCCGATTGTCTTCTCTGTAACCCTCTCTCGGTGTCTGCTATTACTGAATAAAATCACACATTGAATCCACAAGAAACAAAATACATCACAAAATGTGTCCACACGTTCGTTTGGATAAATCTGTCGTTAAGACATCCCCTGGAGCCCAGATATATCTCCCATGTCGTCAATCTCGTCCGATGTATCATCGCCGCCATCTTGGCCACTGTCTTCCATGTTGTCTTGTTGACTTCCAGACAAGCCGGAAGTGACGCCGGTGCCGCCATGTTGTGTTGAGGTGACATTTGGAGCCATGATAGGTTTCAACTGCCCGTCAACTTTGTCCTTGACTAGCTTTGTGCCTTTGACTCTCTTCCATTTCATCCGTCGGTTCTGAAACCAGACTTTCACCTGCAACATTGAGAAAAGGTGAAACCGATGTTAAAGTTATATGACGACATTGTGTTTGATAACTCACTCATCCTAACACAATAAATGATCCAGTTAATGAATGAATCCTACACGTACTTTTTTCTCTTCTTTAGTAGTCAATAGAGTGTCCCTATAGTATTTGTGCCAGCGGCCACCGGACTGAAAAAAAACAGTGCTGCCGACACAAAGAAAATATGAGATAATTTTAGGGGTGGGCACAAGCTACATAAGCCTTGTTTAAGTGAGTAATACCGATTATTACTTTTAATTATATTATTATTATTTGTATCGTTATTTACTGAAAAGCTAATAAATATAATTATATATTCGAAATAGTATGAAGTATGTAAACAAATACTTGAAAAGGAGAATGGTTTACTGGTATACTTTTAAGCATCCTAGCAAATTTTCGGGAGGTGGGGGTCCCCTGCTATAAATTATTAGACAGTTCAACACCTTCCCTCTCCCACCCCCACCCCCACCCCCTTGCAACTGACAAGCGAAATATCGACATTAACCATACTGACGATACTGATTACCCTGGAGAACTTACTAGGAAGCATGTCTGTTGCCAGAGTAAGAGAAAGTTGTGCCGGTGTGATTGACCCTCTCAGCAAAACCAGTGAAACAACAATATTAATTAATGATATCAACAACAACAACAACAACAAAAGACAGCAGGGAGGAAATGTGGCTGTTGATGGTAGTCACAACCATGGTTCATAATATCAGGCGGTGCGATTTTCGGACGGATCAAACCACATCTGAGCGGTCAAGGATTGCGTGCTCAATAGTAGAGAGAAAACCTTAAATTCAGAATCACTGAAGTGAAGCGGCTCGGATCCAAGTACAACCCGTGCCCATTTGCTTTGGTCATAACAGAGTGCAACTACATAGTAGAATTCTCGACTGAAGCAATACATTCTGCTGGTTCTTCAATGCTCCAAATGCCTGAAGGCCTGACACTCAAGAGCGACTTGTCAGAGCAAAAGGAGATCTGTCGCTACCACTAAGAGCCCTAACTCTTTAGCGAGTGACCAAAAAGTGCTGTGATTTCACAAAAGCTAACGATAACAGAAAGTGCGGCAATTGTTCCATCTCACATGGGGGCAAAATGACTTGGTTACCAATATCTCTTGTAAGGTAAAGTCATCACCAACACTGCTGCAAGGGAAAACATCACATACTAAACAGCACGTAGAAGATATGAGGCACCCAGGAGCGTTACTGCAACAGAAACAGCAAAAATGTAACGCTAAGTTATGCAGCTGAAGAAGGATATCCGATTCCTCAGAAAATAAAAGGCGGCAAAACAATCGCGGCGAGAATAGGAAAGGGAAGAAATCATGGAGAAGAGCCATAAAAGCATCCTTGGGTATAAAAGACGGGTGGTGGCCGGTCAGCTGCAATGGAGCAGTTCAAGGTAGACATCTTAGCTTTTCTCACAAACATGAAAGTACAGAAGGAGCAGTAAGCAACATTCAAACTCAGAATACTCAAGACAAAAACTCTGGAGACGCTGGCAGATATGTCTCAGGAGACAGTACAAGGATAGTTGGAGGCAGAAATCCTGAATAACACACTGGCAGATATGTCTCAGGAGACAGTACAAGGATAGTTGGAGGCAGAAATCCTGAATAAAACACTGGCAGATATGTCTCAGGAGACAGTACAAGGATAGTTGGAGGCAGAAATCCTGAATAAAACACTGATAAATATGTCTCAGGAGACAGTACAAGGATAGTTGGAGGCAGAAATCCTAAATAACACACTGGCAGATATGTCTCAGGAGACAGTACAAGAATAGCTGGAGGCAGAAATCCTGAATAACACACTGGCAGATATGTCTCAGGAGACAGTACAAGAATAGCTGGAGGCAGAAATCCTGAATAAAACACTGGCAGATATGTCTCAGGAGACAGTACAAGGATAGTTGGAGGCAGAAATCATGAATAACACACTGATAAATATGTCTCAGGAGACAGTACAAGGATAGTTGGAGGTAGCGCGCCCAAAGACCCAACACGAATTTCACAAACGACCAACAGAAGAAAATGAAGAGAATTCAAGGCCATAACAGCAACAGTACGATAACATTCCAGCCACCTCATCAACCTAAAGGAGACTCTACCAGCGCATTACCAAACAGTTTACAAAAAGACAAGTACTTCTTCTTCTTCTTCTTCTTCTTCTTCTTCTTTTGCATTCCGAACCATGAAGATTCATTGCTGCAGATATCACCCGCCTCCATTCATCTCTCTTGTTAGCCTTCCCTTTCCAAGTAGTGAAACCAAGTATTTGCAGCATATCACCACCATCATCATCATCATCATCATAATGTAGCAATGTAGCAAGTTCCAGAAAATGAATAATTTACTTCCCACCACAAGCAGAAGAGATCAACTGGATCTGCATTATATTTCCTCAAATATCCTGATAGCCATCGCTGCTGGCCTATTGTAAAAAACTTAAAATATAAACTGAATCGAATTCCAATCTTTTAAAATGTTGATTAATTTGTCTTCAACTTCTGAATCAACTGAAATCATCAGACCCATCTTTATAAATTAAAAGAGTTTATACAGAAACCAGTGAGCCACTAATCAACGTTTGCAGACATATCGATATACAGAAAAACAGGTCGCTTTTCATGGAAACAAAACTAATAGAACACAGCGGTTCTGAAGAGATAGAATTAAACAAAAACAATGAGATAATTTGTTCTGAAGAGATTTAATAAACAAAATCAATGAGATACAGTTGTTTTGAAGAGATGAAATGAAACAAAAACAATGAGATACATTTGTTTTGAAGAGATGGAATGAAACAAAAACAATGAGATGTAACTGTTCTAAAGAGATGGAATAAAACAAAAACAATGAGATGTAACGGTTCTAAAGAGATGGAATAAAACAAAAACAAAAAAAATGAGATGTAACGGTTCTAAAGAGATGGAATAAAACAAAAACAATGAGATGTAACGATTCTAAAGAGATGGAATAAAACAAAAACAATGAGATGTAACGGTTCTAAACAGATGGAATAAAACAAAAATAGAGATGAAGCAGTTCTAAAGAGATGGAATGAAACAAAACCAGTAAGATGCAGCGATTCTGAAGAAATTGAAAAAAACAAAAAACTAAAACAAAGTGATAGAACGGTTATTCGGAAATGAAATAAAACAAAAACAATCAGAAAGTTGCTGACATAGAGGGGAAACACGAGACAAGTAAAATATTTCGGCCATACTGGAAGGCATAAAGCACTTATAAAAACCTTAGGGGAACGGAGGTGGGTGTAAAGGTAAGCCAGCAAGCAAAAGGCAGACAGCAATACAAGTGGAACGATAACAACAAGAAATGTACGAATAGCAGACTGAGAGGGTGTGCACTCGTTGTGCAGGCGGCACTTGATTAATTAATTGATTTAAAATATTTGATTGATTCATTAATCGACTAATTAATTGATCGATTGAATCAACATTAAACTCCCACTAAAAGGACTGTACTGCCCTAAAAGTGTAACCATAAATGACAGCGACTGACAGAAGAACAGAAAGAAGAAGCCCAACTGTGTAAATAACTAAAACAAGGATGCCTACTTGTAAATGACAGACCCACCGGTTCAAACTTGTGAATGACAGACACACAGGTACAAACTTGTGAATGACAGACCCACAGGTACAAACTTGTGAATGACAGACCCACAAGTACAAATTTGTGAATCAGACAGTCATTAGAGCAACAAAGTGAATCACAGATTTCTTTGGAAGCCACTAAGTCAGAAATTAAACAATGTAAATCAACATGATACGAATAAAATTATGAAACACAGTCACACAGTACATTAGAGGCCGTGCAATCATAACAGATTTTAAACCGCAGAGTGGTCACTCCAACTGGCAAATACCAGATTCATAACAATGTGAATCGGGATTCTCAACCCAAATAATATAAATCGTGGATTTACTATGAAACCAAATCTTACAGGTGGACATACCATAGACAGAACCAGGGCTGCCAATGATGGATTTTACCCCCCCCCCCCCCCCCCCCCCCAGATCTGGGTTTTTTTTTTTTTTGACGCCTTGGGTTTAGATTTTGAAATCTAGGTTTTACAAAAATATATATTCTTATATAAAAGTGGGTAAACGTTTCGTTTCGTAACTATACAATTTGTACTTTTTTAACAATCTGGGTTTCTTTCTTTTGTATTGCTTGGGTTTTTGTTCAGATTAGCTGGGTTTTAAACCCTAAAAAAATCTTGTTGGCAGCACTGGACAGAACCCATTGAGGTGTCCACTTACCTGTCTCTCCGTGAGGTCTAGGGCCACGGCCAGCTCGTACCTCCTGAGCCGAGTGAGATAGTTGTGGAGCGTGAACTCTTTCTCCAGTTCCTGGATCTGGTGTTTGGTGAAGGCTGTTCGCTCCTTCCTGGGTTTGACTGATAGGTCCAGTTTATAAGGGTCTGGCGAATCTGTAACAGATACAACAAGTGGATCAGCTGATACTGAGGGATGACGGTTTGTGGGCTACACAGTTTCCGATAACCCACAAGTCTATTACTGCTACTACCCTCAGCACCACCCCTACCACAACTGCGACTAATGTTACTGCTGTTGTTGTTACTACTACTACTACTACTACTACTACTACTACTACTACTACTACTACTACTACTACTACTACTACTACTACTACTACTACTACTACTACTACTACTACTACTACTACTACTACTACTACTAATACTGCTCCTGCTATTACTCTTACTGTTGTTTCTATTGCTAAGGTAACTACAAATGCTACTGCTATTAGTACTACTTTTATTACTACTGATAGTTTCTTCTACAACCAAACTACTGCGAAGGTGTGGGTGTTCTGTATGTGTTTAGGTTGGGGAGAGGTTAGTGTTGATATTTTGCAATTTTCAGACGTAACAACGGACATAAAATAATGTCACACACCGTCTATAGTCAGGGAGCAGCAACAACAAAAAACTGGGGGGGGGGGGGGGATGGGGGTGGGTCCCATTATCGCGTTGTTCTTAGGTCTAAAAATTTATCCAGCCAACGCTCCTGTGTCCTGTGGGTACAGAATTAGGTCGACTTAAACATGTATGACTGAAAGAACGAACTCAGAATGTACAACCTAGCAAATAGCAGTTGAACACAGGATCAGGCAACACGACCAACAAAAATATTGAAATTAATTCCTGACAACTAAACTGACCACCTGCTACACCACGTCTCTGAGCTGGAAAACGGTGGATGGCAACAGCGTGACTCTACAAGACAGATCGAGCGGAAACCTGAGATCCTTGATCTCTGGCAGCCTTTCATCCGCCATGGTTGAAGCTTGCTTCTGCCGGCGCTACCACATTTAGGTCAGCCTCTTTCTGAAAGTCGAAGCTCTCCTCTCTGTAGGCTGGAATGGTGGTGAGAACTAGGCCCACACATTGAGGCGCTAGAGTTGTTGATGCGGAACTTTCTGCCATCTTTTTCCCGTCCAGGAATTATCCAGGATTCCTGATATAATTTACCGTGTATTTTTTTCCCCCCTGGATCATGGCTGTCTTCATCCCTAGTCACAAATTGTCTCCCTTTAAACCGTCTTGGATGTTTGCGATGGTATACATAAAAAATCAAATATACTTTTTTTTTTTTTTTCGGGCATGTTCTTTCCCTTCCTCAAAGTAATCAAGATTTGGTATTTTCTATTTTGTTTCTGTCACATAGTACGATTTCCACAAATTTGTCTTGTTCGGGATTGATGTACAAATTGTTTCTTTCTCGAGCATTTATTTTTCATTTACTTATTAGCTGATCCTTGATGCTAGCAAACATTTCTCCTGTACTGTTGTTCGCTTGTTCGTCATTGCTGCTAGCAAACATTTCTTCTGTACTCTTGTTTGCCTGTTCGTCATTGCTGCTAGCAAACATTTTCCCTGTGCTGTTGTTCGCTTGTTTGTTATTGCTGCTAGCAAACATTTCCTCTGTACTATTGTTTGCTTGTTTGTCATTGCTGCTAGCAAACATTTCCCCTGTGCTGTTGTTCGCTTGTTTGTTATTGCTGCTAGCAAACATTTCCTCAGTACTATTGTTTGCTTGTTTGTTATTGCTGCTAGCAAACATTTCCTCTCTACTATTGTTGGCTTGTTTGTCATTGCTGCTAGCAAACATTTCTCAATAACTCTTGTTTGCCTGTTCGTCATTGAGCTAGCAAACATTTCTCATGTACTGTTGTTCGCTTGTTTTTTATTTCCTGAAAAGGACTACAAGTTACAACTGGCTGGTGCAGCCATTACGGAGTCCCTAAAAATGTATGTAGAGGTTGAATAGTATATAGAGATGATCCCTGTCCGTCTGTCACTCAGGTTCAATTTGTGTGTGTGTGTGTGCGTGTGTGTGTGTGTGTGTGTGTGTGTGTGTGTGTGTGTTTGAGAGTGATACAATATCAGGTAGCATCCTAAAAGAGACAAAGCAATCGAGCCTTCGCCGATTCGGCAAAATATGTTTAATATACTACAGACTTTTGCATTGTTTGGCCATACAAATCTGGCTTACAAACAACAGGTTTAATTGCAAAATGGGTCGTCGTTTTATACTTCGTTGTTTATCATTGGGAAGACCCAAGTTCGAAGCTTCGGTAATGTTATGGGGTTTTCGGTCGAGGGCAACAATTAAGCCCCGCCCTGCATAGTTGTTGGCGACAGCACTAGCCATGAGGAAAGGATGAGGCAGTATTGAGAGTTCATCAGACGCCGTCACCATCATACCAAGTCTGTTTCTTAACTGCCCCAGTTAAAGAAATCGTGAACCTGGGGAGATCCAGCTCTTAAAGGGCCCTCCAAATCATTGTGCTTCTTCTCATTATATAAAGTAAAGCTGAGACAGTCCAGCTCCTGGAGCTCCATGTGTCAGTATGTTTATGCATTCAACAGCAGGACGGCTCAAATCGCACAGCCCACAAGTTTTTTTTTTTTCACCTGATTAATCGTCAAATAAACACTGAATTCTTGCTAAGACTCTATGACCAATCCAGGCTTAATCAGAAGCTGTCTGTCTGTGATGTTTTGAATCCCCACCTGTCTGTCTGTGATGTTCTAACTCCAGGCCTGTCTGTGATGTTCTGACTTCAGACCTGTTCTGGGATGTTCTGACTTCAGTCCTGTCTGTGAAGTTCTGACTTCAGGCCTGTCTGTGATGCTCTGACTCCAGTCCTGTCTGTCTGTGTTGTTCTGACTTCAGGCCAGTCTGTGATATTCTGACTTCAGTCCTGTCTGTGATTTTCTGACTTCAGTCCTGTCTGTGATGTTCTGACTTCAGTCTTGTCTGTGCTGTTCTGACTTCAGACTTGTATGTCTGTGATGTTCTGAGTCCTGGCCTGTCTGTGATGTTCTGACTTCAGTCCTGTTTGTGATGTTCTGACTTCAGTCCTGTCTGTGATGTTCTGACTTCAGTCCTGTCTGTAATGTTCTGACTTCAGTCCTGTCTGTGATGTTCTGACTTCAGTTCTGTCTGTGATGTTCTAACTTCAGTCCTGTCTGTGATGTTTTGACTTCAGTCCTGTCTGTGATGTTCTGACTTCGGACCTGTCTGTCTGTGATGTTCTGACTTCAGACTTGTCTGTCTGTAATGTTCTAACTTCAGTCTTGTCTGTCTTTGATATTCTGACTTCAGGCTCGGTTACAATCTAACACTTAAAAATGTTGACATTTTTTAATATAGAAAATGGAATTACACTGAGTCAGCAAAAACCTAACGTTTTGGAAAACTGACTCATCAGCAGCCAGATGTCTCAGAAACGTATATAATTTTTTTTAACTGTATAAAGACTATACTGATTATTCAAAGAACAAATAAAAATTATTATTTTTTTTTTTTTATCTATCACCGGCTGTGAATTCCAGTGGAAGGTCCCGGTTAATCGTCCGCTTGGACTTTTGGCTTTCACCTGGACCTGATTTTTGCGTGTACAACCGTTTTTCATTTCCCTGCCTCATGGGCAGCTGTACTCCGACTTCGAAGGAAATAAAAATTATGATAAGACATGTTGTCGAAGGAGGAGGAGGAAGAGGTCAACCAACGCGACAGTGGACGACATCAAACACAAGAACATCCATCAGTATTTGGAGCTGACAAAGAATGTAAAGATTTTACTGCCGTCTGCAATGAAAGCAATCACTGTGTGGATGATGTGTTGTATAATGCTATTGTGTCATGACAAACGTAGGGGCTGGCAGATTCAGAAATGGGATCCCCAGCGTAGTTACGACCCCGAACTTTCAGTACAAACTCCAAAAGACAGACCAGGTCTAGCTCCACACTAAGCTGTCTAACAGACATTGTAGGTACAGAATTTACTATGTCGCTCAGCACTCGCCGCTCGAGAGGGAAAAGTTTCACTGAATGTTCCCGGTTCTGTCAACGCCCCTGACTGAAGATAAAACCATCTGTTATTGAACCCTTTCTGTGCCTTTCTTGCCTGCGACATCCTGTGTCCGCAGGCGATGAGTTACGTTTGCAGCTCTGCCGCGTGTTTGTGGGACTTCTCCCATCAACAGCGAGGAGAAGAGTATCAAATGAAAGCAAACACCAGGGCTTTCACTTGAAACTCAGGAGATCGGTTCTCGCCTCCTGGCTCGGCGCTCTCTCTGGTAGCGCCAGAGGGCACGAGTTCACAGTTGAGAGGTCAGCTGACTGCTCCAGCAGACCAACGAGATCAGATGTCATCACAACAGCATCAAGGAAGTTGCACAGGGCTGCCAATGATGGGGTTTTGCCCCCAGATCCTGGCTTTTATTTAACACCTTGGGTTCAAATTTGGTTATCTTGGCTTTTTTTTTTTTTTATCCTTATACAAAAGTGGGTAAATTTTTCGTTTCATAACTATAAAATTTGCACTTTTTAACAATCTGGGTTTTAGATTTTGTTTTTCTGTTCTTTGCCTTTGTATTCCTTGGATTTTTTGTTCAGCTCAGCTGGGTTTTTCAAAAAAATCCAGCCCTGGTTGCACACAGTTGTTACTTGTATCTATCTTGTCATCCCCTCACTTACTCGTCTGCTCTAAATTTAGATGCGTGTCTCCCCCTCCCCCCCCCCCCCCCCCCCTTTTTCCGTTTTCCATGATCGCATTCGGAAAGATTAACTCCCTGCTTTCCCCAAGAGTTACATTTAGGAAGACCATAACATGTTGAGCTGAACACGGACATTCCCACTTCGACGTGGAGCTTAAAACGGGACATCCCACTTCTACATGGAGCTTAAAACGGGACATCCCACTTCTACATGGAGCTTAAAACGGGACATCTCACTTCTATGTGGAGCTTAAAACGGGACATCCCACTTCTATGTGGAGCTTAAAACGGGACATCTTACTTCTATGTGGAGTTTAAAACGGGACATCCCACTTCTATGTGGAGCTTCAAATGGGACATCCCATTTCTATGTGGAGCTTCAAGCGGGACATCCCACT